TAGCCGTTCCAAACACAAAGAGCTGGAATAATTTATAGAATTTAGGAAAATAGTTTTTGCTGCCTTGACACTGTCATCACTGGTAATGTTAATGTCAAATAATCATTAGGTGAAATTGAAGTTACTGGTCTAAAGAGCAGCTCCCATGTTTCTGTTGAAAATAGAGTGGCAAAAAACTTTCAGCTAGAATTAGAGTGTTGATGAATTACTAAACAATGATTCGGAAATTAAAGGGGGGGGATTAAACTAATAAGAAACAGAGGTCAATAACTATTTAGTTCCTCATAGGGGAAGATTTCAGCTGTATGAAGACTGAGGAAAACTGTTTAGGTTACTTTAAATTACTATAAAATATATTCAAAACTCTAGCTATCCCGCCACCCTCTACCCTGCGAAAAGTGGTTTCTCCAGGCCGGACGCTTCGCTGCAAAGGGAGAGAAACAATTATGAGCAACCGTTTGCCTCTTTGATCGAGCTGCCGTCCAGCGCCAGGTAAAACCTGTTTAAAACAAGGTTAAGGCTCAAGTGCATTTGCCTGTATACATGTAAGCGCCGTCTTAACGCGAGCATGCTGTGGATTTGCGCTCTTTCAGTTAACAACTTACATCGTCCGCAAATGTAGGCGAACCCTCCTGGAGTTGAATTCCTAGGGACCATATCCAAGTTCAGGAAAAAGAAACATGCAAAACTTCGTTGTTGCTTGTTTACGTTGTCCGCAAAAGGCGAAATAAGACATTTTCAAGAAGTAATTGTACAAAATGGCAAAGAATTGTACAAAAAATGTGTGATGCACGTGCAAAGTTATTGTTTTGCTTATTAAACCTATTATTTTTTGTTTGTTTGTTTGTTTGTTTTTTTACGTTCTCGTTGGCGTCGCTTCATTGTATCTTAAAGTCCCTTACGTTTCCTGCGAAACAAGAGGAAGTGATGTCATTCGACTTTTCGACGTAGGCGTCAAGTGGACGCGCATGCTCGATAGAAAAGCAAAAGGTTCAACTCGCAGAGTTTGCTCGCAGTGGAGGGAAGCGTCCGGCTGCGGAAACCACTGCTCGCAGGGTAGCCACCCCCACACACGTATGCAGAAGTGATACCCGGAAAGTTAAGGTTGCAAGATTGTTAAGATCAGCTCTTATTGGACTAGTTTGAGAGTTAGTAATATATAGTAGTTATATTAATGATGTTGTTGTTGTTGTTGTTGTTGATGATGATGATGATGATGATGATGATGATGATGATGATGATGATGATGATGATGATAGCTTTAAAGGCGTTCTTTTTAACGATGTCCATGGATTGTATCCAACTGGTCTTTGTAAAACGTTTTAAAACAAAAGAAAATATGAAGCTTCCATTGTCAGTTAAATGTTCAGCATAATTTCAATACTATTACAATGAGCAATCTCAATCTCAATCTCAATCTCAAATTTTTATTTTAACACGGTAAAAAATTCATCAGGGTTTTTGTTACATATAAATTATAACTACATAACAATATCTAATAATGATAAATACATATCTAAAGAGTCTCTTAAAAATGCTACTCAAAATTACGCTAAACCATACCTGTTTTCCATGAATACCGTGTATCTAACTTAATTAACTAAAATGAAAGTTTAACAATTGCTTAAAACGATTTAGAGATTTCTCTTGCCTAAGATAGCAAGGCAGACTGTTCCAGAGAGTTGCACCTCTATAGCTAAAGCTCTCTTTTAGGTAGTTGATTCTTGGTAAAGAGACATTTAATTTGTTCGTAGAGTCCCTTAAGACATAGGCTGACATACTGCGCTCAGTAAATATAGAGGATTTAAATAGTCAGGAGCCAGATCATTAAGAGCTTTGAACACCATTAAAGCTACTTGAATTTGACGCTGGGTGATCAGGTCTTTTCAACCAAGTTGTTGTAACAAGTAGCGAGCGTCAGCATCATAGGAGGAGGAAGTCAAAATGCGAGCAGCACGATTCTGCAGTTTTTGTAATCTTTTAGAGAGCGTTTTGCTCAGACAATACTAGAGTATTCGAAATGGACAATACTACAGACAATACTACAGTATTCGAAATGGGGTTGTACCAAGGCATTGTAGATGTAATGTAGTATTTCTACTTCTGCAGGAGTTTTTTCCACTAAATTACGATGACTACTGCTTCTTCTATTCTCTTAAAATTTACTACTAAGTTATTTTAAAATTTCTATCAACAAAGGCATTAATCAGAAGTAGTGATAGTAACTTGATAAGACGCATCAGAGGAGTATGATCTTTGGTGTGTTCTCTTTGCATTATCATTAAATACCGAGTAAAGCTGTGTGCATGCTTGTAAAACACACACGATTGAAATAATAAAGACTGGTCTTGTTATCATTCCAGCCTCCATCCAGTTTTTCCCGTCAATGAGAAGTCTTTGTCTTGTTTTCTTTATTCTTTCTGTTTATGTTTCTTTATGTGAACCAAAAGAAAGTGCGGACATTGACTAGTTAGGCGATGTGTACACTTAACCGGATAACTCTTACGCCAGCGTGAAAATCATTAACAATTATTCCTCGAGCCCGAATGGGCTCTGAGTCAATGGCCATGAGGCCGAAGGTCGAATGGGCTATTGACTCAGAGGCCATGTTTTAGTAAAATCCAAACAGCTGGTCAAAAATATCGAGAGTAAAAAAACTTTAGCTAGCTAAAGCTAGACTTTAATCAATTTTTTGCCGCCAAAAAGCCCGCGCTCTTTGCTACTAGTGGGCTATAACATATAGCCTAGAGTGTAGCATTGATGATAGACCACTAGTTGGATTTTACTAATATGGGATAGGGATTTTTGCTGTTCCGGCAATGGTGATTCGGCGAGGTTTCTGTAACTGGAGCGCCGCGCCGATCTTGGAATTGGATCGTCACATATCGGCCTGGCCTGAGAAAACAGCCGACACTATTCGCGATCCCACCACTGGTTTCCCTGCGAAATGATGTCTGAGAAACGAACGCAGAAATGACCGTACTTATGACGCGTCACAACCCAGATCTGACAAGTGCTTCGGATTGGCTGAAGCAAATTTCCCTGGCTAGACGACCAATCAGAGGCACTACTCAGATCTGGGTAGTGTCACGTTATCAGTTATGGAATTTCTGCGCTCGTTTCTCGGACGTCATTTCGCTGGGAAACCAGTGGTGGCCAGCTTTCTGTGTCAGTGTAACAGGATGAACAGCTGCCTTTCCTTTAGTAGGTAAATGTAATTCTAGAAAAAGATGAGAGAGCAATTGCCTTTTGACCTTGAAAAAATATTTTCCGTAAATGTTCTTTTTTTGTTTTATTAGCCGCGGTAAAACGGGCAACAAACAAAGTTGGGTGAATACTGACTTCTCATTCGATAAGATTACGCGCAAATCACGCCATACACGGGAGTTGCATCGTTTGCTGCAAACAAGTTTGCCTTGGGCCGGTAAAACGCGCAACATGTACGTACAGATTTTGTTGCAAAAAGTAGAACAACTTTCTATTTTCTGCAACAACTTGTCGGAGCCTGCAACAACCTGATTTGTTGCAAGACATGTTTGATTGTGGGTGGTAAAACACGCTACATCGCTATTCAACTCGTTTTGCAGCAATGTTGCAAGACAAGTTGAACGTTTTTGTTACCCGTACTTTTAGTCGAGTCTCATTTTGAAAATTGAAGGGGGACAGGCACCTATTCTAGGGGGGAGGAAGGTTCACTTTTTGCCAGTTCTTTGCAAATTAAAAGGAGCGGGTGTTTATTCCAGGGAGGGGTTTGTTAAGGCTTGGAGGTTATTCAATTGTAGGAAATACGATTGCTTAGCGATAAACGGTGCCTGTGGACGGGTAAGAATGTGTTGTTACACTCGGCTTAATTATGTCTACCTTAGGGGTTTTAAACGGTTATAGCTGCGCTCACCTTAGCATTAAATTTGCCAAACTTTCGGTTCATTGCTTTACAATCGAGCTCCAGGTTTTTGCAATTCGCGAAACGTCGCCTACCGAAAGTATTACAGCACATTTCAACAGCAAATTATATTTGCCTTTCTAGCTTGTACTTCGGTCAATATTCTGATCTTGCATTCACCCTGCTCCAGAGGTCTCATAAACCACGCGAACGCTTCCTAAGCTTCCTTTGCGCGTTGCGCTCCCTTACCGCTATCGCAGTTTCGCCGCGAACAAGTTATCAGAGGGAATAGGAATATATAATAAGAAAAAAACTTTTGGCATCTAAGCTATCTTACATTTGGCCTGAGGCGCTATATACAAACAAGAGTCACGCGGCTTAAAGTTAAAATCAACATACCTGCGGCTGTGATGACTTTTAAATGACCAAAGTTGTTTATAATATAAGTGGACACAGCACTTAAGATTCTTCCACTTGCAGCCAGATTGAAAGTGAGTGGAATCAATTAACTCGGAAGTTTCGGGATATCAAATGAAATGCACTCCTGCATGATACCGTATGATATATTTTGTGTCACAAATAAGGATTTCACGATGGATTTAAACTTTAAAGTTCCCCCTGGCCTCATTCGCGTTTTTCAGCGAGTAATCTTATGTGGCCTGGAGAACGTGCTATATCAGATTTTAGCAGCAGAGATAAGATGTATAACTGAGATACAGAGATAACAGAAAAGAAGGGAAAGTTTTTAAACAGCCAATTCAAATCGCTTTCAAAAACTATCCATAGAATAAAAGGTCGACCAATGATCAATGGAAGTCATCAACATCTCATCGCTCTTCTTGGCGCACAGTGTTTTTTTGTTCTTTTTTTAGCAAATTATATAACGGGAAAACAGCTGAAGAACGACAAAAATTAATTGTTGTGTAATTACACATAGTTGTGTTTCTTCTCCTGGCCTGGTAGCCATGGACACAAAAATGTCGTCAAAGGATATTTTAATGAATTAGTTTCCCATTTCCTTCGGCGTGCAGCACACGTCAATATCTATACGTCTCGAAACTTCTTCTGTATATACACTGGGAACATGCAGCAATTAATTCCCTAAGACGACTTGATAATGGCTGATGATTCGAACAAAAGAACAAGCGGCTCATTGTCGCTTTTTCTTACTGTTCGTTCGGTTTCTGGAGTTTTCCTTGGAATACTGGCAACTCTTACGATCGTTACAAACATCACTCTTTTGGTGACGCTTTGGAACAAAAGGACCCGAACCTTTAAGACGCCTGAGAACTTCTTTGTTCTTGGTATTGCTGTGGCTGACTTAATAACAGGAATGGTAGTGGAGCCGGCGTTTTCAATCTGTTATATGAGCAATGACTTGAACAAATGTAAGGTGGAAATCGTAGAAATAATTCAGTATCTACCGCGAATGTTCATCAACTGCTCGTTTCTGATTGTACTCCTTCAGTCTTGGAGCCATTTCCTCGCCATAATTCGTCCACACTTCTACAAACGTTTCCTGACCAAAATGCGGGTGATAGCAATAGTAACTGGAGTATTTATGTACACGACAGGTTTTTCTTTTCTTCAGTTCGCGTGTATTTCTCATCACCTTCTTCTCATGATTGACGTTTATTTACACGCGACTGCCATTCCAGTGATCCTGATGGTGGCTTACGTATCCATGTTGGTTAATCTTCGCGCGCACATACGCAGAAGGGATGCATTTTTTACACGTGGTCGATGTGACGTTGTCAGCGGTACTCTAGAAAATCCTACCAGCACGATTATTATAGAAGATAGCGTGGAACGTCAATTTATTCGCATGAATCTGTACTTAACAGTAGTTTTGCTCACTTGCACGCTTCCCTCCATTGTTGTAATGCACATTGCTCTAAATGCGGCAGATGCCAGTTTTAAGCAGCAAACAAATTTGGCCGTGGCGCAAAATATAGCTGAAGACATTTTATTTATCAAGTTTGCCCTAGATCCGTTCATTTTTACCTGGAATTTTCAGAAAATGGGAAACATGTGGAGGTCTATCTCTTTGAGCAGGAATTCAAGTCCAGCACTCACAAGACATAATAGACTTGAAGCAACTTGCATTGAAGCAACCTCTTTCCCAGGTTCTCTCTCCTACCCGTCTCGCTCCGAAGGGCGGGTAGGAGAGACCCCTGGGAACGAGGTTGGCTTTGAAGACGAGTCTAAAGGATTTAAATAGCGTTTACCCCCGAGGAGGGAGGGGGTACTAAGCTATAGTACTAGGGTAGTATCCAACTTTTTACCTTCTAGGTCTATGATGAGGTTTCAGTATTGATCTTTTAGGCTATGTTCACACTATGCCGGATAACTTTTCGTGTCGGCACGAAATCGCCGTTCTCATGTGTGTACAGGAGCCCTATCCGGTAATGGTTTTCGCGCCGGCGCAAAAGCTATCCGTTATTGTACGATTGTACGCATGTGTGAACAAAGCCTTTGTTACTACTCAGATGGGGCGGCTTAATGCTCGGATGTAACTTTTCGTTATGTGCAATATATATTGAAAAATAACTGTTTTGATCCTAATAACGAGTCATTTTAAATGTGCCGGTGAATTTCCGGCTATAATTAACAACAAGGGTGAAAAAAAAAAAACGGTTCACGACACTAATTCGTACTTTCCGAGAGATTTCATTACTTTCGCTTTTTTTACGTGATTGTGAGTGCCGGAATGAAGATGTTAGAAAAGAAATTAATGTCACTTCTGATTGTTTATTACATCATGTTTGAAGAAAGAAACAATTATAGTTTTTCGGTCTTGTAGTAAGACATGACGGGATGGGAAAAAGAGTGTTGGAAACCTAGAGACATTCCTCAGCCAGAAGTACATAGGAGGGAGACCAATAACATCTCAAAACCTTCAGAGACAGCTAAAAATGTAAATTGAAAGTTGGATCTAAACTTCTGATTTCTTATTGCAGTAATTACGAAGGTAACTGGGTGTCTAGGGTGTTGTTTATGGTAATTTTGTTGGATTGTTTGAAGGGATATGTATTCACAGCAGATCAGTTACCGCCTCCTGGATACACTGGGACTCGCTTTGAGGTCGTTAATGATGTTGCCGTTACTTTGGAACATCATTAGCCTTTGAAGGTGATGAAATATAATGCTTTTGGGAGAAAAAAGCTGAGACTGACACCTTTTAGGGACTTATTTACAGCTCTTTATTCATACAATGAGTGCAATATAGTAAACCATAATTCGTGTGAAAGTTTAAATAATAAATGACAATAAAACCTAATGTTACATGAATATTTTAACGCCATGAGGGAGCTCTGAGTTTGATGCAAATCCGATCCTTTTTGACCTCGTACTGAAAAACATATTTCAAGATCTCCTTCGTGTTTGTCATCATTATGTGTCGCGGTCTGTATTATAACGGTCGAATACTTTGTCATCTTCCCTTGAGTCTTTGGCCACCGCATTCACCTTACGAAAACGACCTTCCATGAACCGTTTGCGCTGAAGCATCAGTTTGTATGATGACGGCAAAGAATTCTGAAAGATAACAGTTAAAGGAATATTTTACTATTCAATTCCGCATTCAAACAGTCTGTACTTTTTTCATGATAAGATAATTTTCAGCAGTTTGCTGACCTAGGGTGAACATTTTCCCTTTTGTTGCAAAAAACGTTAACTACAGAACTTAGATAGCCTCTGTCCAGCCGCTGATTCTGATCCTTAACTAAACATTGAAAATCAAGTTGAAGTAGTTGCTATTATGGCTTTTGTGGGTGTAGAAAACTTAGCCAACAGCAAAAAACATTCTCACTGTTCAATGTGCGAAGTATTCAGTTCTTTGCCAGATGCCACCAGAAGTTCTAGGGATTCTATTCCCTTCAGTGCATAGACCAAAACCGCAACATGTAGCGATTTTTTAAATTATTTTCTTGCATCATGGTAGGGGATTATTTTAAAGTTGACCATTATTAAGATAATAATGACCTCAAAACACAGAAATTGGGTATAACTCAATGGTGATTATTTCTTAGAATGACTCGTTATTTTTTAATTCAAAAGTTTATAATCAAAACACTCACAATCCCTATAAACACGGAGATATCCCGGTTTACTATTCCATTTTTTGTTGATTGACCAAATTCAGATGAATACAATTTCCTTCTTAATCAACAGATAAGGTTTTAATAGCTTTGATAACATCAAACTTAAACGTTTTTATATAATACTAAAAATTATGCCCTTATCGAAGAAGAGGTTCAGTTATGACACTGAATAAAGTGCATGAACATGAAAGACTTCAAGATTTATCTCCTTTATTAAAAAGATCAACATGAAGTTATTTAATTTCCTTACCGAGTCTGGCATTTGGTCACGGCCACCCAAGCGAAATCTGCGAGAGCCCGCACTGTATGTCAACTGACCCATGCTTTCTCCAAGAAACAGAACGACATACATAAGTACAACGAGACTTTTCATGGTTTTCATGGTCACTTACCACTGGAACTCTTCTATTAGCGAGTTGTGGAGTTCTGGCTGAAATTGTGGTCTTTTAATACTCCGCGGGCTTCTCTATTGTTAGTAAAAAATGCTGAATGCTGAATTGTCTTTTAATGACATCATAGCGATAAAACAAGGCATGCTTTTAGTTTTACTTCAGTCCCACTTACTATCGAACCTAATGGATGTGCTAATTAAAATGTTTTCAAAGAGATAATAACATAGAAGATACAATGATATTTTCTGGTGGAATTTGTTTTACATCCTTTTCAGCTTTTTGTATACTATTTTGCACCTTTTGCAATTATAATTTTTACCTTGTAACACTTGGGCGACTGTGGTAAGTTCCCCAATGTAATTACCTTAAGTCCACCTTCCTATTCAATCACGAAATTCACGGCAATTAAATAGAATAGAATACTACATCTTTTTTTTATTCTCCTAGAGGTTTGGAATTCTAATCTTTCTTTATTTCTTATTCTCTAGTGCACTTTTTTTTTTTTTTTTCAGATCTTTAATTGTAAGGCGCATTTGAAAACGGTATAGTTGAATTTGCGCGGTATAAATAAATGTTATTATTATTACTTTGGATATCACTGACTTCAAAAATTTTTGTGAAAATCAGAGTGTTTACAAAAAACAACAACAAAGAAAAACAAACTAGATCGGGGTGTACCACACTTCAACCGGTGTTGTCGTAACTTTTCGTTGTAACTTGCGTCGTGAAAATCTATATATCCATCTTTTAATTTTCCAATTTTAAAACTTCCCATTTTCCTTTACTTTTTCCTTCAAATTTTCTGTTAAGTGACTGCGAAGCTCTTTACTTTTCATGACAATAATATTTGATTTCTCTCAAGGGTTATTTAGAGTAAAGGTTTAAAAAAAAAGTCTACTGTTTTGGAAAACGTATAGCTAATTACATGCTGCACAGGATTTTGAAGTTTCAATAAAATATTAATTTCACAGCTACTTTTCTAAAAGATGAGACGAAAGCCTGCTACTAAACAGTACATCAAGTATTTTGAATGGAAGGGTGAAAACGTTTCATGATATGCAGTAGAACAACTATAAACATATAGTGGTTTTAATTGTTATTTGATTATTTTAAAAAACCTAACCCACACAATTGATAAGTGCTAACAAATACTTTCTAATTTGCAGCATAGGTGGTTTTAATACTATAGACATCATTTGTCGCCTATTTTTGAATTTAATACAAAGCAAATCACGTTTTGGAAATGGAGAAAACTATTTGTATGAATTCTTTCAATAAAGACTGAATCTGAGTTGAGACAAGGAAGGCGGAGCCGGGAAACTGGGCCGGGTTTGAGTCCCCCTTTTCCTTACGAAAAAAATAGGAGACTTACTGAGAGGAGAGCCCCCTCAACCTCCCCATTTCACTGAAGTCACTAATTAGCATTCCCTCCTCCCCCCCGTCTTAATCCCTCTCGCGACGAACTTGGAAATATGTTGCGACGTTTTTAAGAGATCAAGTATCAAGTAATTTTGCTTGTTTCAATGCCATGATAATGATTTTACGAAATATACGGTACAGAATAGGTGACTGATTTGAGTGAAAAGAGGACGTTGACATGAACAAGACAAAGTGTCAGAAAAGCTTTTTAAAGATAATTCATGCACTTATGTCTTGCTTAAGTATCAAAGCTCGGACAAAGTAAACTTCCTAAGTTTTTGTTCGTTTGACCCATCAAAAGCTACTTCTTACAGTTAGTAGAAAATTTTCTCCGTCAGTGCTTAAAAACTCGACGATTTTAACGCAGAAAGTAAAACGGCGCCAGAAAAGACCGCGGTGGAGGCAGAACTGAAGATTATGTTTCCTGTGTTTCCGCGCATGAAAAGGAAAGAAGAAAGTGGTGATAAATAACAAGTTGGTTGAAAATCGTTATCTCAATAAGTGTATTATGGAAAATTTTTTTAAGTTCAGGGTCTTTTTGACAATTTTGAGCTTCCCCAAGGTCGGTTTTTGCAACGCATAAAATTGTCTAACTTGAGAAAACCTCAAAGTATTATTCGGTTAAAATACAAATCGAAAAACACAGAAGAGGATAATGTATTATAAAATATTGGGGATGGTATAGGATGGTTCATGTTGACAATGTCTTGAAGCAAAAAAATTTAGGCTGAATCTTTCGAGATGACGATAAGTGACGTTTGAGTGAGACATAACGATTCAATGGAGACTTCCGCATGGACCCCATTTTTTCTGCTTGAGTCATTAACTAATGTATAGCACGTTTAAATATACATTTTTTATTCACAAAAAATGCAATATACGATTTCCATCATTTTTCTGGGCACTCTTTTGTTTAACAAAAATGCATTGCAAGTAGTATATTATACCTGTGGCCTTCAAAACGACATTTGAACCTCTCTGTGGGTACCTGTAGACGTCGTTTTCTTCGCGCATTTTCCATCAAATCGTCAGGTTTTTAAACGAAGTCGTCGCATATCGAGAATTGTTTTGCGTGGTCAAACACTTCTAGCGAGCTCGAGCAACCTTCGACGACCACAACGGAAACGAGAAAATACTAATAAAAAAAATAGGTTCAGTAAGAAAAACAAAAACTCTGAATTTGCAGCACCCTTTTTGGCAGATTTCTTTACCGTTTAGCACGAATGAAGCAGTCGAACTTGATCGGAATGGCAATGTGATCGTCGCTTTAATCGATATCTCTAAGATCGCCGTTTGATTAATAGCGA